CACAGGGAGTGTTGTCTACAGCCTTGTTAAACCAAGGCCCTGCAAGCCCCAAAACCAGAGAACAGGGAAATCAATTCTAAAATGTGGAAACTCTGCTGTTTATCTCCATTCCTCCTGGAAATGCCTCTGCTAAACCATTCAATAGCTGGTTGTCCTTCATTTCAGGGTAGTGTTTGTCCTCTGCCTAGTCATTAGGACTGTCTTGGTTCTTCTTGTGCAACCTTGGGGTGTTTCCATGACTAGAAATCCCAATCACTTCCTAGAAACATGTGTTGTGCCCTGACATAGCTAGAAAAGCAACAGATGAGCTGCCCTGATTCTAAATTCAGTGCAGCTTTATTTAATATCCAGTGCATGCGGAAGTATAAAATTTTTATTAATAGATGGCTGATTTGCAGTAACAATGTACATGGAACCTGAATAATATCCCAGGAAACTGCCATGCAGTCACAGCTCTTGGTGCTCTGTCCCTGTGGAGATGCTGCTCTGTAGCACAAACACAAATACTTTTCTCTGTGATTGAGTCCTGAGAAACACAGGCTGTTTGTGAGAGATGTGTATTCAAATAATTTTAATTAATAATTCCCTCTCAGCACCGGGAGCCATGAGGATGGTGAAATGCTGGATGGGTTAAGCTGTGCACGCACGGAGATCCCCTGGAACAGCTGTGAGTGTAACTACAGCAGATCCCTGCTCTTCCAGGAGGGGAAACCCATGGGGGAAGTTTTGCAGTAATTATTTTGTTATTACTCCACAATCTCTCCCTTTTCTGGCACCATCACTGATATGCCATAGTGTCTGGGGCTTGGGGAGATGGGGCCTTGCTGCGCAGTGTGGACAGAAGTTTTTGAAAGGAGAACAGAAGCTCTCTGGTAAAAAATATCTGGTATAGAGGGATTAATAATCGTGTTAGCTGGAGGTAATATTGGAAAAGAGGCTTTATGAAAGTCTTTGTACTAAAATATTGCACGCTGGCTCAGAAGCAGATGGTACCTTCTGAGAGAGAGCCTAATCAGGTTACTCTGATTTTCATTTTATGTTTTTATAACCCAGCATTATCTACTTTTTGTGTAATCTGGTAGACTAATAACATAACAAATATCTAACTTTGGGGAATTATCCACTTGTAGAGTAGGTTTTGGTATTTCCCCATAGAAAACATAATAAATCTAAATCTACCTATTTGAGGTACTGAAGGATTCATTTGCAGCATTAACTCCAAAACCTTTCTCTTAAAGGCTGTAAGAATGGCATCCCCTTTGAAACATTCTTTGCTTGTAAAAATCTCATTCATGTCCCATTGATATTCACCAAAGAATTCCCATAAGCTCTAGATCAAGCTTAGAGATTATTTACAACAGAGTTTATAGTATTTGGACAACTTGAAAAGGTGCAATTAAAAATTCCAGAGGGCACAGAGTCATAGAATGGTTTGGGTTGGAAGGGACCATGAAGATGATCAATTCCCTGTGCCATGGGCAGGATGCTTTACTTTAGACCAGAGATCCACATGCTCAGCTCTGACTGCAGAGAGTGGGAGTGAAACCTCAGAAGGTGCTGTTCTGTATTCTGGTGTTTGGAATAATGGGCTGTACAATGATTTGTGTCCATCACTGCTGCCTCTTCCCATCCCCTCAGTCCCTAACTTTTGATTAAACAGCATTCCTTAAACACAGTTTGTCATCTGCCCTTGCCTTTGTTTGAGATCAGCTGGTTCAGCCCCAGCTCCTGTGGTGAAGGTGCCACTGAGACGTTTTTGGGCATGACAACCTTGGATCCACCATCCCAACCACCTCCCACTGCCAGCCCTGCCTGCTGTGTTCCCTGCAGGCTCCTGCTGGGCTCCACAGAAATGCAAAAAATTCTTCTGTTAATAAGTGTGCTTTAAAATGCTCCTTTCCTAGCTTAAGAAATCCCAGAGGATCAGTCTGCTTAGTTTGCTTGCTGCTTGCTCCTGTCTCAAAAATGTTAGATAGTTAAGTTTGATACTGCTTTAAAAAAGCAATATTTATATTTTTCATGAGTTCTGCACTGGGTATGAATTACTGACAGGTCCACTCCATCTGCTGCAGTCATCTTCATCAAATGTGCTGCTAAACTGAGCACCCAGGAATCAGATTTTCCTTGGAACATCACAGTGGTGCTGTCAGAATTTAAAAGTTATATCAGACAATGAAAACAAACAATAAACCCAAGAAAGCATGTTAAGCCAATTTTTGGATGCTCTGTGCAGCTGTTGTGCAGTAAGTGGCTGCAGCCCTGGTAAAGGCTGGGGTGGGCTTGGAGCTTTGGATGGTTTAGAAACATTGGAATTAATGAGTCCTTAAAATGTGACCAATTGATTTTCCTGATGCACAGGGGCTCATGTGTGATGTAAATAAAATTCCCAGACTCTGCAGCCTGGGAGGCTCCTGGCTCTGTACCTGCCTTCACTTAATGAACTCAGGACATTCCATTTTTCACAGAACTATTAAGATATCAATAACTCATTTGTGGAGTTTTAATTTAACTTTGACCATGTAATTGATGACCCCTAAGAGCTGCCTTCAGGAGTTGCATTATCTTCTTTTTTTTTCCTATTCAAATGAATATCAAACTTTTATGCTTATGTAGATTACTTTCTAAAATTTACTTTTCACTCACAAATGTTACGTTTTGCTCACACTCCAGTAAAAATTTGTGTATCAAAATGAAACAGACCCACTTCATTTTAAACAATTTCTGCATAAATACATTTTCATTTCCTTTTCTCTTGATTATTACATAATGAGCTTAATGGGTTAAGTGTCAAAACTTTCAGCCAATTTAATGCAGATAGTAACTGTGTCCATCTTATCAGTATTTCAGGATCACCTTTAAAACTTTGGGTGCAGTTTTACCTGGAATCAAAGCAGTCTGAAATGTATTTCAGTATTTTCAAAAAGTCTTTCTAATGCTGCTCTCTTTAGAATTAAAGTAGAAATGAGTGCGAGTGTAATTGTCTTGTAATATTCAATTATTAGCACTGCACTGGAATTTTATCTTTATTTGCTGTATCAAATGTCCTATTAATTGTGTTTTATATCCTCACTCTGTAAATCTATCAGTTTCTTTGATTAATTTTCTAAATCAATTAAACTAATAGTGTCATTGAATTTAAAAAAAAAAAGTACTGCGATTTTTTTTTTTTGGTAGTTTTTACCGTAAAAGTTGCCGAGGAAGATGTTACAAACAGGATCTTTAGGTGATGTGTGATGACTGATTTCAGAGCTGAACATTTAGCTTCATTTTTCAGCAGTTTTTTGCAATTATTGTCTGGAGCAGAAGTTTGAGCAGCAGCTGGGGGGGCTCAGCCTGGAGAAAAGGAGGCTCAGGTGGGACCTTCTTGTCCCTGGCAGGGACAAGAAACAGCCTAAATTTGCACCAGAAAAAACTTAGGTTGGAATAAAGGAAAACTTCTTCACCAAAAGGATTCTCAGGCCCTGGCACAGCTGCCCAGGGCAGTGGTGGGGTCCCCATCCCTGGTGGGATTTAAAAGCTGTGTGGATGTGGCACCTGGGACATGGTTCAGTGGTGGCCTTGGCAGGGCTGGACTCCCTGATCCTAAAGATTTCTTCCAGCCTAAATAGTTCTCTGATTCCATGACAGCTTTACAGAAGTTCAGGTTTCTTTGTATCCACATCAGGAAACTGAAGTGTTATGAATTAAGTGCCTGGTTTTGAACACAGCCATGTTCTCTCTGTAATTTGTAATGCTCTCCCTATGTATAAAAACCAGTTTGCTGCACTAACAGTGTGTGATTTCCACTGTTACTTGAGTTTTTTTCAGAGCAAAATAGCTGTTTATTACTAAGGGTAACCACCCCATGGCAAAACAGGAGGATGGAAAGCAGGGGTGTTTATTATTGACTGATTAGTGCACAAATGCTTTGACTCAGTGCTGATTCTTTTTGAGCCTATTGATGTGTGAATTTGTTTCTTCCAGTATAATAATTTTATAAGTTGTTTCACCTCATGCTCAGTGCTATATCTAATAGCACAGCTGAACTCAGCATGGCTTCTCATCAAGTATTAGAAGTGGAGGGAGTTTCTTCCTCCCAGCCTTACGCTCTGATTTCCAAGCCTGTCCCAGGCTGCAATAGATGAGCTCCTGGCTCCACAGGCTCTCCCTGCAACTTTACATTTTCTTTATCTTTCTGCCTTTTGAGCTTCCTGTGTCCTGTTCCTCAAACCCTTGAATATTTACATGTTTCCTCTAGGTTAATCCTTTATAGCCAAGAAAAGGCCATCTAATCCATGTGAAAAGTGAAGTAGCCAAGTGTGTAAAGCTGCCTGTGAGGGAGTCCACAGAAACCTTTGTTATGCAGCAGCTCTAGGAACAGACTCGTATTAGACAATGGCGTTTATTGACTCCTTCAGGAGAGTGCTGTCCTACCTGCTGTGGATGAAAGGAAAGCCACACAGATCCTCTCTGTGACAGCCCATGGTCTGGTCTGTGATGAGCTGATAACCAGTGATGCCATAAATGCAGAACGTTTACCTTTGGAGGCTCTGCTAGCTTTGGTTTTTACTTTCTTATTTCAGTGAACTGTGTGTTATTGCTTGAGTGTCACTCTTTAATAGGCTGCCTTTCACTTGTTGAGAATGTTTTCAATAAATCAGGCTTTGCAGCATCCTGATGATTGCCAGGATTGTTGTGACCCCACAGAGATGCAGCCTGGCAGTCACCGGTGTCATTTGTTGATTCTTGCATAACTTCTTACTGCTATTTAAACTGCCCCTGTTTCACACATTGAAGCTTTTTCTGTGTGTCACCATAAACATCTTACATGATCTAAATAGAGAAAAGGCCTAGAGGCATCTGAGCTCTTTATTTCCTGTGTGTTTCAAGTGGGGCTGGTTTTCATTCTGCAACATCTTGATTTATATGACTAGTGAATATCATATTAGGCTGTCAGGTCTGAGGTGTTGTGTGGATAACATTCCTCTGGTTTCAGTGTGATTTTTCTCTTCCTTAAACAGAGCCATCACTCTGGAGAACCAGCTGGTGATCCTGGGGGTGTCACTGATGGACGCAGGAGGTTACTATGTCCAGGCAGTCAACGAGAAGAACGGGGAGAACAAGACCAGTCCCTTCATTCACCTCAGTGTGACCCGTGAGTACCCAAAGTGTGGGGCATGTGTGGCACACGGGATGAGGCAGAACTCACAAAGGCAATGAATAAAAACAGCCTTGCTAATAAAGGATTGGACCTTTAAGGAGGTCAGTGTTTCCTGTTTGGTTTGGAGCACTCTGAACTCCTTGTGCAAGAGAGGGACCTAAGAGAGGAGATGCCCTCCACAAGTCACCCTCAGAGCCTTTGTCTGGTGGTTTGCTTTGTGCGAGGCAGGTACATGATGATATCCCTCACTGTTTATTGTGAAGTTGTGGTTATAATTTCTTTTTAATGCAGGTGTTTATAATGTGTTGTTTTCCATTGTGCCTAAGTAAACAAGTCATCCCTCTGAGTGCAAATTTATTTATGAATCTATTCCCAGTTTATGGCATTATTTTTACCTGGAGTTATCACAGAGTCCCAGGGAACATGCATTTCATTGTAATTACTTATTATTTTACATTACATGGGTTGTATTAACACCACCACTCCAGAGATATTCCATGATTGGGTTCTGCAGCAGAGCAGAGGGAAAAGCAGCAGAGCACTGGGGTCAGGGAGATGGCTGCACACTGAGTGTGCCAAGGTGCACATTCAGCAGAAATGTGCACATGCAAGCTCTTGTAAAACATCCAGTTAACCTGTTTGCATGAAAAATTAATATTCTAAACATGTGAAATGGGTTGAATCCTTGGATGAGACACTTGATAAAGGGATTATTTATGTAGCAGTGAGAAGAGAGAGTGTTAGTGCTGTGGGAATGGGGAGGTTCCTTGTTTTCCTTGTAGAGACAGGGAAGAGGTGATGGAGTAAATCACTGATGACACTGACAGCCCTTATCATTTGGGCTTCTAGATGATGCAGGACTCCTCTCTAGATCAATGACATTGAGATGGCCCAGATCTCATGATCTTGGGTACCATGAGATTTTGGATAATCTTTGTTGGCTCATTTCCTTACAATAGCAAATCTTGGGAGTCTGGGTTTCTGGGCAGGAAATCTGGGAAACTGCTTTTGGAACAGTGCTTGTGTCTGTCAGAAGTTCATCTGAAACATGATCCTGTGAAACATTCAATTTCTAAGAAAATGTCATTTTTCTGCTAAAATTCCTGATTGGATTTCAAGGAAAGCTGTTCTTGGATAATCATGGGGAGCCCTGGTCATGGGCTGGGGTCACTGTGGGCAGCAGCTGCATGGCTTGGCAGGCAGCAGGAGACACAAACCTCTGTCTTCTTCCAGACAAGTATCTCAGCTAAATGAACTGCTCAGGGGTTTCATGTGTATCTTTCTGAAGTGGAAATAATATTCCAAATCCACTTGTGAATTCTGGCTGTTCTGTGGCACGTAGATTGTAAACATTATTATTTCTGACAGTATGAAGAGGTTTGCTAACACTTTAGTAATTTCATTTTTAAAGCAAATTTGTGTTGTTTGTATTATGTGACCAATAGCATACTTCCCACTTTAATTTCATGTCTTAATTAATGCTAGAAATAGTCTGTGATCGTGCATGCATAACAAGTGCTATGCAAAGCAGAAGGTAATATGGGCATATGGAAAAGAAAACACTCCAAAATGCTCACAGGCTTGATACCATGAATGCAAAGTCTGCCTGGAATGTGGCAAATAGGAAAGATGAAAGGGATAAAAGAAAATGAAGGATGAGACAAGATGGAAAGGCAGAAATGAATTTGCTTTTAGAATTAATGTCAGCCAATGAGGTTTTCAAATTGACACCTTGATATCCTGGGTTATTAAGGCTGTGTGTGTGTGCTGAAGGAAGGCACTGGCTGTAAGGCATTGGAGTCTGTAAAGAAAATTGGATTAATGTGGTTGTTCTGAACTTTGATCTGGGGAGGAAACTTATGTGCTACATTACATAGAAATGAATAAACATTTTTGGTCTGGTAACAGCAAGTAATCAGGCAAAAATGCAGTCCTGAAGCAATATGCAGAAAATGGTTGCAGAAAAATGACATATTTTGGAAGAGTAATAAAGAATTCAAGCAAGAGGTTGGAAACAGATTGTTAAAGGTAACACAGATGAGGAAGATACTGCACTGACTTGTCACCATTTGAATCTTATGGGATGTTAGGAGTGATGACACTTGTAACTTTTCATTAGGACATGTATAAAATTTAAAAACATTTTAATCAAAATCCAATAAACCCCAAGTAAAGCAGAATAGCCAATCTCTATGCAAGTAGATTATATATTAATTATTGAGTACAACCTTGCTGCATGACTCAGCACACACACTGCCACCATTATTGAGGGCAGGAGGAAAAAACCCCATAGATAATTCCCAAGGCAGCCATTCTCTGAGAACAGTGTTAGATATGCACAGCTCATTATTCCTTGAAGGAGACCAGTGTCAGATTTGCTTCAGCCTGTAAGAAAAGCATATTTGCAGAATCATTCTAACAGCTGAGAAAGCTGTAAGCTGTCCTGTTCTGCTCCAAAGTACAAGAATGACAGCAGGAGAAAGGTCTGGCTCTGAGCTGAGCAGAGGATGAGTTACAGGGCCTCATATTGCAGATTAAAGTCTCTCTTGAATTGTGGCTGAAGGTAAATGGAGCTTGAGCATCACCTGGAAAATACACTGAACTGCCCTTCAATTAATAACTGTATTTGATACACATGGTATAAAAAGATTAGTGGATGTTGAGCATGTTTCAAAAACAGTCTAAAAGCCCCAATCACATTGAATTCTCCAGTGGGACTCTGAGTATTAATAGTAAAGACACGTTGTTTCTTGTCAGTCTAAACTGCAGCTCACTGAGTCCAACACTGTGAAGTCTCACACCCACCCATCGCCCCTGATTGCAAACACGGGGGAAGTTGGGAAGCAGCTCCCACAGAAAGCCTGCAGGCTTCTCAGGGTTGCTTTGGCTGTGCTTGGATTTGCTGTTCTCCATGTTCTGAGGTTGGCCACACATGGGAAATGAAGGCAGCAGAGTGCCAGGGCTTAGGGGAATGCCAGGTTTTTTTGGGACATTTGGGAGTTTCAGATACACACCCCATCCCCATCACCCAGTCCTTACACACTCCTGGTGCAAAGGCACAAAGATTTATTTCCCGATAGATCTGTCACTCAGTGAGAGAATCCAAATATTGAGCAGTGTTTTTCCTTCACAGCTGAGTCCCCAGCTTGGCTGAACACCCATGTTCCACATGCCTGCCCTAAACCCATGTGTCTGAATGTGACACAGGGTGAGGTCCACCCAGCTCTGCTTGAAAACCATGGATGTTTCTTTCAAGTGGACTCATTTGTACTGATTTCAGGGGAATTAGATCATCTCTGAGGTGACAGGCTCTGGGGAAATAAAAATTATGCCCAACAGGCAGCATATTGGGAATAACGTCACATCTGAAATTAGTGTGAGGTGTCATAAATTAGACCTAAATTTAAAATGTCTAAAAATGAGTTGAACTGTGTACTACACTAATGAAAATCTTGCCACTTTTTTTTCCCTCTCTTTTTAAACCATATGTCAGAGCTTTCATGTAAATAACACAAAATTTTGGCTTGGAAAATCGGAAAGTCTGAAAGTCAAGAGTTTGGCAGTGGAAATAGTAACAACACTGGCTTTGGGTTTTAACTCACATTACTCACTTACTCCTTGTTGAGAATTCACTATTGCTGCTTGGGAGGATTGCAGTATTAACTCCGTTGCTGGAACTTCCTAACTTGATTGGAATGGTGTGAGAATTAATCTCTCTGGACTGATACAAACTTTTGGGATGTAAATGCTGTCCTTCAATAACAACAGTTGGAAAATCCTAAATGTTTTATTCCTGTTTCCATCTATTGAGCAATAGGGTTTGATGATGGCATTGTAAATGGATCCTTAATTCTTGAGGCTTTTTCTTTCATTTGCCTCTTCTCCCACAGCCAGACATACTCTGCAGCACAAATGGTCAGGTCTGTTCCTAAGGATTGTGACTTGTCAGGGCATAAAGTGACATTCTTTGATCTTACAAGTGTTGGCAGGGCACCTAAAGATTGAAGTGTTTATTCAAGTAAGGCCATCATAAAACCCTCACTTCCTTGAGGGCCATTCTCAGTGTAACAGCTAAATATCTCTGCATCACAATTCTTCTGGTTTTAGTATGGAACTTAAAAAACAAGCAAACAAAATCCAACCAAACAAAAAAACCCCATCAAAAGTAATGATAAAAAACCTCACAAACCAAAAACCCCCAGAAATACCCAAACAAACAAAAGAAATTAGTACATGGTAGTTTGCTGTTGGCTGTGCCACTTCTGCATGAAGGTTTTTTTGAGGGTAAAGGGTAGCAAGGCCATTTAGAGCTTCTTAATGAAACCATGAGGGATTTTAGTATGTAAGTCAAGAGTTTAAGTGGGTTTATTAGAAGGGGGGGGAAAAAGAAAGATTAATGGGGAGCTTTTTATTGCTGTGAGGAGCTGGCTGAGCTATTCCCTGCAGGGCACTCAGTCCATGTCCTTCCACTTTATGATGTGACACCATGGCCAGGTTCTGGAGCCACTTGGGAAGAAATTGGCAAAGCCCTGGTGGGATATTTCCATTATTGACTTCAGCACAACACTTTATGTCAGCACCACTGGCCTAATGCTGGAAACTTTTAACAGAGTGCTTGGCTTTTTCTGAGTCCAGCTGAAGCATTTTATGAAAAATGTGGGCCTCAGTAAATGATTTAAATGCTGGCTTGCAGGAGGTGGGTGTGTGTAAGCTGTTGTGACAGTTTAGATGGTCCTGCTTCAATTGGTTTTGCGGCGCTAATCGTCCGGAACTGCAATTCTGGGCCCTGCTCCTGCACCTCCTTGTTAAGCTGTGAAATATTGAGATGCATGTCGCTCCAATAGATTTATTAGTAAATTAGATAGTCCCCAGACCTGTTGGTAACACCAAGAGATACAGAGTGTTCTGCAGCCTGATGTCATTTTCTGATGCAGGCTTTGTGAAAACAGAAAACAAGATTGATGAAAATTTTTAAAACCTTGCCAGCCAGCATT